AAAAAATAAAATGGCAGCGTATTTGAGCAAAATCTTCATTGAAGGACATTTTTAATGGTCATTAGGCCTAGAAAATTATAGAACACTAGCAATTACAAAATTATAAGTTAAAACTACAGTGAGAAAGACTACAAATCCACTAGGATGAAACTGATTAAAAAGAATCACAATGCCAAGATTGGACTCAGCTTAACTCTCATTCTCTCTCTCTCTCTCTCTCTTTTTTTTTTAGTAAGCTCACAACCCAAAATCAAGAGCCTCATGTTTTACTAGCTGAGTCATTCAGGCACTCCAGCTCAACTCTTGTTTCTTCTCAGACTTAAGCCTGTCCTGATAAAAATTACCTGATGTCTTACTTTTTTCACCCTGCACTGATATTTCCCCAGAGCTATTTCTGCCACTATCTTTGAGTAATTACATAATCATTATTAATAGCTCTGCAGTTTTGCATTTCACAACTTTTTTTTTATGATATATCATCAATTCCTCATGCACAACAGTCCCAGCAATCACTTGAAGGAACAACAAGCTATCCTCAGCACAGAGATGAGACAGTGGTGTTTAGATGACTCTTGTCCACGCATTCTGCCCCCGGAACGCTGTAGCCACTATCACATAACAAACAGAATTTAATAAGTTGTTCTCCGTTTGAGATAGATGTCAGATTTCTAAAGGATTTGAATATATCTTAAGATATGAAGAAATAATGAATAAGTAGTGTTGCTTTGTGATTTGGACATATCACTGAATATACAGGCGGGAAAGAGTTTCTCTTCGGGAACCAGATGCAGAGGTAACTCCTCGTCCTCCCATTTCAGGGCGGCCTGAACATCAGTGTTTCTTCCAAGTCGTGGCTCTGACCAAAGATTTACAAAATCGACTAACTCCTCTGATCACATGCATTTGATGAGCAAGAAAATATTTATTAGTAATAGCTAAGAATGGATGCATTTTGAGTCTGAAAGAGATTATGTCCATTTAAATTTGTAGTATTGAGAATAACTGAAATACTTTTGGCCTAAGGGACAAATCTGAGCTTCATGGAGTCTGAAATGTCTCTAACAAGGATCAGTGGCAGACAACACTCTCCAGATGTCTGTGAACTGTCCCTTTAAGAAAGGACAGGGCGTCTGGGTGGCTCAGTCGTCCTTTGCCTCAGGTTCTGCCCTGGGATCCAGGCCCACATCGGGCTCCCTGTTCCGCAGGAACCCTGCTTTTCCCTCTCCCACTCCCTCTGCTTGTGTTCCCTCTCTCTGTGTCTCTCTCTGTCAAATAAATAAATAATCTTAAGGGGGGAAAAAAGGGAATAAACAGCTTCTTTTCCCCGAAGGCTAGATGACTCTTATTTCTCAGACACCCGTGGCACCACGAAACCTTTGTTCGCGGAGGTTAAGGACTTGGACACTCTAACCACCTGTGCGGCTGAGGAAACTACATTACCCAGGAGGCAATGTGCCTAACGGTGGCGGAGTTGACCCAGTGAAGCCCAGGACAGGAGCATTTCCGTGCGGACGCACCAGGTTAGGGCGGGACTTCCGGCGTCCTCTTCGTGGCGGGCATTTTGGCTTTTCCGCAGTCTGATCGCTGAGGCTTCGGAGCCGCCGACCGGTGAGTAAGACACGAAGGCGTTGTCCCCGCTACAAAGAGGCCGCTCTAAGGCTTGGAGACGGTGACCCGCAGCGGGCTGGGATCAAGATCTCCCTGCCCCACAGCCCTGCTCCGCCCGCCGAGTCCGATGGCGGCGGCCGCGCCCAGGGACCCGGCTCAGGTAAAATGTTTGCTCGTTCCCCGGGCCCTCCCCGCCGTCCCCAACCCCAAAGGCCCGAGCGCGGGGGACCCGCTCACGACCCTGCGGCCCAGGCCCCATTGCCCGGGACAGGGAGGCGCCGGTGGGCGGGGCCCCAGGGGTGATCGCCCGCGGGCTCCGCGCGGGAGCGGGCTCCGAGCTGAGGGGACAGGTTCGTGCACGGACTTAGAGGTGCGACCGACCCGGGAGCATTGGGTAGACCCAGGCTCTTGTGTCTACAGGCAGCAGAGAGTGTAAGGGGAAGTTGTGCTTCAGGAGTTTTCCTTCATTCTCAGAAGGCTGGAGCCGGGGAGACTTGGGAGCAAAAGAGGGACAGCGTCTGAAGTCGGGTTCTCCCACGTTTCCGAAGCTGCTCACAGGATGAGCAGGCGGGAAGAGGGGTGATAACAGTTGGCACAGGAAAGGTGCCTTCTGTAAAGATCACCGCACCAGCGAGAATGCGCGGAGGCCTGAAGCCCAGAAGGAATGCAGTCCTCTTCAGGTCACCAGGTGGTAGGCTGGGCTAGGTGATCCCAGGCATAGCACGTAGAAGAATGTGCAAAGGCTTGGAGGACTCAGGGACCTGCAGGTGTCCATTCTTTTCCATGGGAACTGGGAGGAGTGAGGCAGGAGTCAGGTCTGGACACTCCGGTGTTGGGTGTTCTGGGAGGTTTGGAGGAGTAAAGGCATGTAACTTGACTCAGGTCTCATCAGGCTCCCTGGGGCTGCAGCATGGAGAGGAGTAGAGGTGTGAAATTGGTGGTAGGAAGAGAAGGGAGGAGGCTACTGCAGTAGTTTGGGCAACTGTGAGGTGGCCGGAGCAGGGTGGTGGCCATGGAGAAATGGCTGGATCAGTGTTAGTGTTCTAGGTGTGGCTTTCTGGGTTTTCTAATTTTGAGGTAGAGAGACGTGGGGGATAACTTGAGGGCTTGGCTTTGGCAGATGGAAGGATGGAAGCCCCATCAGTTGAGATGGGGAAGTTCATAGAGTAATTTTCATTGGGGATATCAGAAGATTTCTTTCTGGTCCGTTAAGAGTAGATGTTCAGAGAACAGTTTGTGCGCCTCTGGAACTCAGAGGAGGAGTTTGGGATGTAGACTTCTCCAAAAGGTGGAGAATATGTGGACCAGGGAGCAGCTGTAGATATGGGGCATCTTGGTCAGGATAATGGTCATAGTAGCCCAGGAAGAAGAGGGTGGGTCTGAGAACTAGGTTTCCTGCTTGGCTCCCTGGCCGTGGGGGTGGGTGTCAGAACACGGATCAGGGAGAGAAGTGATCATAGAGAAGGAGGGGAGAGTGTATGGTTTGGTATGTGGCCATGAGCTCCAGGGGACAAGTGGACAGGAGATGGGTGTGGAGGTATAGGAGTAATTCAAACAACATGATGCTGAGGTGCTTGTTCTCTGTTCTGCAGACTTACCAGGATTTCACTGTGTCCCTTGGTGGGGCCCAAGTATTCAGGTGAGGCTGGTGCATTAGCTTGGGGTACAAGTCATTTATGAGACTGACTGGAGGTGCGGTGCGAGGCCAGTGGAGCTGAGTGTTGGATGAGGTTAGATGGAGAGAGGACAGTGTGACTGGAGAGAGCACATCAAGTGCATGTGTCACACATGTGGAGGAGAGCTGTGGGTATCTGAAATCTGGTATTATTCTTGGTAGTGAGGCTAAAGCAAGAACAGGGAGGGAGGCTTTCCTAGTAGCACTCAAGGCTTCCTGTCAGTGGGAACCATCAGTCTGGAGTAGTATTTGATCCTACTTGAAACTGCAAGGCTTTTTCTGGGCCATATATGCTGAGTAACATGTAGAAAGACCAAGGAGCTGACTCTGGTGTAGGGAAGGAGGGGGCTATAGCTGTGGGAGTGCATCTGTGAGAAGTGTGGCAGAAAGAGAGTGAGTGTGAACACATGACCACAGGACCCTAGAATTGGGGTCATAAGGATGAAGGATATTGCCACATTTTTTTGCATCTTGGAGGGATGATCCAGGAGTTTTTGGTGGTATTGCCTGGTAATACAAGAGTCAGATTGTGCACACCCTCCCTACAGCCAGCTTCTCCCTAACCTGTGTTTGTGACACCGACTACACTGACAAGAGGCAGCATGACTGCCATGCCACGTCCAGCTCAGATGTCTATCTGTCCGTCTGCCTGTTGTTGTGGGAAGACACAGTATCAGTAGGAGTGTGTGGAGTAGGTGACTCCAAGGACACACCCAGGCCTGGTATCTCCTCTGAGGTGTGGAGTAGACTGAGCTGAGGGTAGATGTGGAGGGTGGGGTTATAATGAATTTGGACTCCTAGGAGAGATGTTGATCATAGAATGAACTGTCCACATTACAACAGGATATGAACTTCGAGGATGTGGCCGTGTACTTCTCCCGAGAGGAGTGGGGACTCCTTGATGAACCTCAGAGGCGCCTCTACTGCAGTGTGATGCTGGAGAACTTGGCACTTGTGGCCTCGCTGGGTAAGACTGTCACCTTGCTCCTCGTGTCCTGAAGTGATGTCCTGCTTTTCCTTTTTTCCCCAGAATTCTCTCTTTCTTTCCCACAGCTGGACCGTGGGCTCTGCTCATTTCTGTGACTTTCTTGTTATGTGTGCTGTGGGTCTCAGTGCTGAGCTGTGTATAGTGCCCGGAGCAATCGACTCCCCAAGCATCCCTCATACCTGTTACTTCAAAAAGTGCAGGGAAGGGTCTGGAAGTCAGGAGTCTTGAAGTTAACTTAATGGATCCCACCTTGTTTGCCTTCTCCCTGGCTGGGTGACTGTGTCCACATCCCTGGCTTCCAGCTGTGCCCCTTTCCTCTAGCTAACAGTTCTTTGCAACTGCTTGTGCCAGGTCATGGTCATCATTCACATGAACCATGGGCCGTTCTTGTCAGACCCTCCTTCAATTGTATTTTTATTTTCTTTCCTGAATATTACTGCATGACAAGTTGCACGGGGCCAGTGGGGGCCACTCGGGGCCACTCATTGTGCGTCTTTCGTTAAGACTTGCATCATTCAGGGGCGCCTGGGTGGCTCAGTGGGTTAAAGCCTCTGCCTTCGGCTCGGGTCATGATCTCAGGGTCCTGGGATCGAGCCCCGCATCGGGCTCTCTGCTCGGTGGAGAGCCTGCTTCCACCCCTCTCTCTGTCTGCCTCTCTGCCTACTTGTGATCTCTGTCTGTCAAATAAATAAATAAAATCTTTAAAAAAAAAAAAAAAGACTTGCATCATTCAGGTTCTGAGGAATTACACAGTGGAGAGTGCAGGGAAAACACTGGTTTTACAGGGTGGACGTGGCAAAGATGGTCTCAGTGGAGGTCTGGCCCTCAAGAGTGTCAGCTGGGGGAGGGCATGACATCAGGGCTGTGTTCACATCATCCTGGCGACTTGCCATGTGTTCAGTAGTGTTTTGGTGCAGGTACCACCAGCCACGTGTTGTTTCTACCTTTTCTTCTGCATACTTAACACTTTGCTGACTTGTCATTTCACCTGAGACTTGCAGCTCCTTACACCCTTGTGGCCTTCCTGGGCTTCCGGTTCCTCTGCACTCCTCCCTTTACGATGTCCTCCAACAGTGACATGCACGTGGTGTCAGGAGGTGTGCACATTTCCTTACGTCATCCTTGAACCTGCTCTTCAGGTCCAGCTGAGTTTTATCGGGACAGGCCACAGCCAGCCTCCCACACAGTGTGCCCGTGTCGCTGGCAGATAAGGTCCAACTGGAGGAGGAATGAGGAGGCAGGGGCCCTTCCTCTATGTGGTACACCCTATGCTTGTGTCTTGTCTGTTGAGGTATCTTCTGGTCTCTTCAGAGGCTTAATACTGCTAAGCAGCCCCTACCTCAACCTGCCCCCAGCTGCCTTGTTCTCGGAGCAATCACCTGGACGCAACTTGTTGTGTCAGACACACCTTTGAAATGGGGCTTCCCCCCTTCCACCGAAGTCAATGTGCATTTCTTCAGCATTTCTGCTTTCATGTTGTAGGCATGGGATGAGGAGGCCCCTTCTGAGCAGGCTGTCTGTAGGAGAGTCCCAGATCAGGGCTTCTCAGGCAGGTCTGTCCACACAGATCAGTCCTGTGAGATGTGTATTCCAGTGTCGAAAGATACTTCACACCATTGCTGCGTGCCAAACAGTATACCCTTGGCAGAAACCATACTTGGGTGCCCCATGTGTGAGATGCTTCTCTTTCCATACAGACCTTCACCAGCAACAGAGGCATGGCAGTCAGGAGAAGCCCTGGAAAAGAGATGTGGACAGGGCCTTATGTGTGACAAGCTGCAACTTCTGTATGTCAGGGCAGCCTTTCACATGTAGGAAGGTTGGAGAGAGCTCCCCAGCCACCTTGAAACATCTTCAGCTCCAGACCAGTTCCAACACTGAGGAGCCACACGGTGGCAACCAGAGTGGGGAGGCCTGTCGCAGCGGGAAAAGTCAGTACAATGGGGGTCAGTGTGGAAAAGCTAACAGCCACAACCATGCACTTGATCAACATTGGAGTGTCTGCTCCGGAGAAGGGCTTTATGAGGGGGGCAAGTGTGGGAAAGCCTTCAGCTGCAACTACAGACTTGTGCAGCACCAGCGAATTCACACTGAACGAAGGCCATATGAGTGTGGTGAATGTGGGAAATTCTTTAGCCAGATCTCTGGCCTTATTAAAGACTGGAGAATTCACAGTGATAAAGAGCTTTACGGATGCAGAGAATGTGGACAATTTCTTACCCATAACTTCAGTTTCATAAAACACTGGAGAATTCACACTAGAGAAAGAACTTATGAATGCAACAAATGTGGAAAAGTCTTTATCCAGAGATCTAAAGTCATTCACCACCAGAGACTACACACTAGAGGAATGCATTATGGCTGTGGTGAATGTGGGAAATCTTTTAGCTACAAATCCAACCTTATCGAACACCATAGAGTTCACACTAGAGAAAGGCCTTATGAGTGTACTGAATGTGGGAAATCCTTTAGACAAAGCTCTAGCCTTTTCTGACACCAGAGAGTTCACACTGGAGAAAGGCCATATAATTGCAGCGAACGTGGGAAATCCTTTGGACAGATCTTTGACCTCATTCGACATGGGAGAGTTCACAGTGGAGAAATGCCTTATAAGTGCAGTGAATGTGGGAAGTCCTTTGGACAGTTCTCTAACCTCATTCAACACCGGAGTGTTCATACTGGAAAAAGGCCTTTTGGGTGCAGTGTTTGTGGGAAATCCTTTAGCCGCAAATTTATCCTTATTCAACATCAGAGAGTTCACACTGGAGAAAGACCTTATGAGTGCAATGAATGTAGAAAATCCTTTACCCGAAAATCTGACCTCATTCAACACCAGTGGATTCATACTGGCACAAGACCTTATGAGTGCAGTGAATGTGAGAAATCTTTTAGGCAATGGTCTGTCCTCATTCAACACCAGAGAGTTCATTCTGGAGAAAAGCCATATGAGTGTGGGGAATGTGGGAAATCCTTTAGCCAAAATGCTAGCCTTATTCAACACCAGAGGGTTCACACTGGAGAAAGACCTTATGAATGCAGCGAAGGTGGGAAATCTTTTAGCCACAAATCTAACCTCCTCAGACACAGGAGAGTTCACACTGGAGAAAACCCTTGAATGTGAGGTACATTAGAATTCTTTGTATTATTGCCAAGTAGCATTCTCTTCTATGGATAATGGCTTTATCCGTGCATCTGTTCTGGACATACAGGTTATTTCCAGGTTTGGGGTGTTTACAAATAAAGCTCCTGTGAATATTTACATTCATTTCTTTATGTGGCTATGTTTTATTTCTCTTGTTGTAATAACTGAAACTGCCAGAGTGGAGGTGAGTGTTTCACATTCTAAGAAGTGGGAAACTGATCTATAATGGTTATGCTCTTTGGCCTTCCCACCAGTAGCACATGTCAATTCAAGTTCCGTGACATCCTTGAAACAAGTATGTAGTGGTAAATCACTTTGGTTTTAATTCCATATCCCAAAGTGTTCGTGATATTGAGCATTTGTCATTTATTTGTTCTATGTTTATCTTTGATAAAATGTGTGCTTACAATCTTTTGCCTGTTTTCTTTTTATGTACTTCTGTATTTCTTACATGGAACAATTGTTTTTGAGTACTAGAAAATTTTTCTCCCTCAACTTTTTGTCCTTCTCACAACTGAAAGCCCACATGCTCCAGACTTATGAATATGTTAATGTGCATCAGCATATTCTCCTCTGCTTTCTTAACTTAGTAACACATTAAATCAGGCCTAGGTTTTAATCTTTGGCAACCCCTGGTTGCCATGGTAACCCTCATGGTAAATGTCAGATTGCCGAGGTGATGTCACTGAACACGGAGTTGGTAAAATATTCCAGTAGCAACTCATTGTGTTTCTGTTCCCAAAGTACTGAGAGCGTGACCATAGATAACTTTAAGAACATAGGTAGTAAAACTGTAAAATGACCAGTAAGTGGCAAGTTTTGAATATTTGTGGGTGTTTTTGTTTTTTTATTTTTGTTTTTTAAAGATTTATTTCAGAGAGAGAGTGTGCATGAGTGGGGGGAGGGAGAGGGGTAAAGGGAGAGAGGAGGGAAAGCAGACTCCCTGCTAAGTATGGAGCCCAATGGGCTCAATCCCAAGACCCTGAGATCACAACCTGAGCTGAAACCAGGAACTGGACGCTTAACTGACTGAGCCACCTAGCTGCCCCTAAATATTTGTTTTGTAAAAAGAGTTTAAGTATGCTTGACTTAAACCACACATACTTTATTTTATTTTATTTTTTTAAGATTTTTCTTTCTTTCTTTGACAGAGATCACAAGTAGGCGGGGGGGGGGGGGGGGGAAGCAGGCTCCCCATGTGCAGAGAGCCTGATGTGGGGTCAATTCCACGACCCTGAGATCATGACCTGAGCTGAAGGCAGAGGCTCAACCCACTGAGCCACCCAGGCACCCCTTTATTTTATTTTTTTTAAAGATTTTATTTCTTTATTTGACAGAGACAGAGAGAGCACAAGCAGGCAGAGCTGCAGGCAGAGGGTGAGGGAGAAGCAGGCTCCCCACTGAGCAGGGAGCCTGATGTGGGCTCAATCCCAGGACCCTGGGATCATGAACTGAGCTGAAGGCAGCCGTTTAACCCACTGGAGCCACCCAGGAGCCCCAAACTGCACATTTTAAATACACATTTTGATGTTTTCATATATGTTTGCATTCCTGAAGCTAAGTTCCTCCTCCCCTTTTCAATTCATCTTTTTCAATGTATAAAATTATTGATACAAGGAGATATTCTAACTTTTGTATTGGCTATTTACATATATATCTGTGAATAAGACTGCTAAGAAGTCTCATTAACCCTATCACACATAGCCTTCCATCATCATCATTTTTGTGGTGGTTCTTGTATCCCCATGCATACTGGTGGGTTATTTTACATGTAAACGTAGATATGTCACTGCATAACCTCTTAAGAATTTCAAAAATATCAGGACTTTCATAACTCTGATAACTTGAATACATACCAAAAAATATGTTTAAATATGTTATGCTAAATTTTATTGATTGAATTAGCTACTGAAGGCAGATTGAATGCAATCATACCAATCGTATGGCTTTTAATACATGTGTCTTTTGAGTATTCACCTTACCTCTTTTATTTTGTTCACCGAAAAATAAATTAAGGTGTTAATAATTTTATATAGTTCAATCAATATTCCTTCTGTAATTTCAAATCCCAAGTTGCCCTTGAATAGTGCAGATGTCTGTCTACAGTACAAACATATGTATCAACTGTACCTCCTGGTACTTAACTCAGTTAGACTTCTCTGCTTCCATTTGTCAAATAAAACATGAATGTTTCAAAGTTACTACCTTTCTTTTTTTTAAAGATTTTTAAATTTATTTATTTGGCAGAGAGAGAGAGATCACAAGTAGAGCAGCAGGCAGAGAAAGAGGGGAAAGCAGGCTCCCTGCTGAGCAGGGAGCCCCATGTGGGACTCCATCCCAGGACCCTGAGATCATGACCTGAAATGAAGGCAGAAGCATTAACCCACTGAGCCACCCAGCTGCCCCTTAAAGTTACTTCTTCAGAAGTTTACAAATCCCAATTTCTCCGCATTTAAAAATTTTTTTTTAACTTTCTTAATACAAAGCTGAAGTCCCCAAATTAAAAGTCTTAATCTTCCCTTGTCAGTGTATACATATATGAAATCATCACTTTAATTGTATTACAGTTTCATTTGCCAATTATACTTCGATACAGGTAATGGAAAAATAAAAGATTGAAATCATGCAAAAACCTTAATCTGAACACTGAGAAACAGCAATTGAAGAGGATCTTTCCTTTCATCTCAGAGCAAGAATACAGATTATGTTTATTAATGTATTTTCCTCTGAAGACAACACATTTCGTGTTTGGAGAAATAAAAGGTTATTTGTTATGAGTTCCTTTGGAAGACTGATCAGTAAGTGCCTTATCAAGGCTCAGATACTGCTACCAGGGACCATCTGGCACACATTAATCCTACCAGTTCTTTTAACTATAGTCCAGCTTTAATTTGCAGGATAGCCATTGTTTTTTCATAATTATTTTCAGGACCATCAGAGAAAGTAGACAGTCCATCTTGATGGATTGAAATATTGCCAGTGTTCTAATAAAGCCTTCTGGATTTCCTGCTAACTCAGCTTCACCAGTCAGTACAATTTACTAAAGTTATACCGGTTGCTTCTGGAATCCCACTCACAAAAATGTAGAATTTCATTACATTCAAAGAAACAAGTATCCTGGAATCCAGAAGGTGTGATGATAACTAGCCTTTTTCCATGGTCTCCACTGTGTCACACAGGAGCTACAGCCTTCACCAAGCCACAGGTGGAGAGCACCTGAAGCCCACTGTAGTAAACTCGTAGCCACCGTGGCTACCGTGGGCAATAAGGAAGCCACTTCTTTATTATTTATTGGATAAAGTTATAAGCATTTTGTCCATTAAAATTTGCCACATCCTCTATTTGGCTGACTGAATCTCTTGATTCCATTTAATATGCTCACCTTCTAAAAATCTTCCCTGAAAAAAAAAAAAAAAAAAGTCTTCCCTGCATGCCTTGTAGCTTTGGCAGAATTTTTTTAAAAAGCTAAATTTGGGGGGCGCCTGGGTGGCTCAGTGGGTTAAAGCCTCTGCCTTCGGCTCAGGTCATGATTCCAGGATCCTGGGATCGAGCCCCGCATCGGGCTCTCTGCTCGGCAGAGAGCCTGCTTCCTCCTCTCTCTCTCTCTCTGCTTCTCTGCCTATTTGTGATCTCTGTCTGTCAAAATAAATCAATAAAATCTTTAAAAAAAAAAAAAAGCTAAATTTGGGTGGGCCTGGGTGGCTCAGTCGTTAAGCATCTGCCTTCAGCTCAGGTCATGATCCTAGGGCCCTGAGATCGAGCCCCAAGCTGGGCTCCTTGCTCAACAGGGAGCCTGCTTCTCCCTCTCCTGCTTCTCCCTCCCCCATTCCCCCGCCTGTGTTTCCTCCCTCTCTGTCAAATAAATAAAATCTTTAAAAAAATAAAAAGCTAAATTTGTGTACTATCCAATACAGTCTATAAACCTATATCTATACAAATTATTACACAATTTAAGTTACTATAAATTCTGGAAGGTCAACTAGGTGTATGTGATAAAGTACAAGAAGAACTAGTCTGAGGATGAAGAAAACATTCGCTAAGTGTAGAGTGTCAGGAAGAATATTGCAAAGAGGATAGTGCCTGAGAAGAGGTGGTGTTTATCTGATGATCTAGAAGTCAGGCGATGATTCAGAATCACAGCTTGACATTTTTTTCTGTAAAATAACTGTGAGCCTGATATCTTTGGCAGCGTAAAGAGCTCATCCCTTGTAAAGCATTAGAAACTTAGTAGTTAACTTTCTTTATACTGTGTTAAGACAGGCCCTTCTTCATATATCAATAAGACTTGAAATGAGTTTTATTTTTCATTTGATCTTAGGCCTTAAGTTTTCATTAACTTTCAAATCTTTTCCAGACCAGGTCTTTAGACTTGTTCCAATCATGTTTTTGCATCTCTTGGTGCAATCAAAGATGGAGAGGGATTCCTGTATGTGTATGCAGAAGACACGAATGAATGATTCAACAAGTTTTTCTTCTCCATTGTGGAATTTGAGAAGTCTTTGACGATGCCACAGACCTTAGCAAAACCAAGTTGAGTGTCCATTCTCCAGATACGTGTCTCCTGCACAAAGGTATATACTCAAGTGACACTTAAGAATTTTGGCCAGCTCAGAATTCTGCAGATTGAGGGAAACTAAGGACAGGAGGTCTACGAATAGGATAAAGAGACAGAGTTGAAAATGAAATACCAGGGAGGACGTTTTGAGCTTATAATAAAGTACTTAATGCCAGAGTTCCTAAGTGGACCCTGCAAATACTGTTTATACACAGGACGAAAAGGAAAAATTCTGGTTAACCAGTGGCCCTCATTTTATACTTCTTCCAAATAGGCTTCCTAATGCAATTTAGACTCCCAAGTTGCTTACCTGAGAGATTATTTCAGTAGGGTATCTTCTTAGGTAGATCCATCAGTTGGCAGAATGTCAGGTGTCCTCTGTGTTTTCAGCTATGTGAAATGCAGATTAAAAATAAGAGTCTCAATTCTCCTTGTTGATTAAGAGGAGAGACTCTCCCCCTCCCTTTTCTCACAACATTTAGTTTAGAGAAATTATAAGCACCTCCTAATCCCTTTGAGGACTACACAGGCCTTTGGCCACTAGGGCTCCCTTACTCCTGTGTTCATGACCTGTGTTAATTCCAGAAAGTACTTGCTGTCATGCAAGTAAGTTTCTTTTTCCTTTGAATAAGGTGAATAAGCTAACACACATGGTCACCCCAATTACAAACATGAAGTTAGGATGAACTTTGTGTGAAGATGATGCTCTCAAGTGACCTTACTTGAGAACACGGTCTATTTCTCTTCTAAATATGTATGTAATGGGTTCTATCTGCTTTTTGTATGACACGGTGAGATTTTTTTCCTGGAAGTCTTTTGTAATTTCTTAGCTGATTTCTGGTGCACATCACATTCCGGCTTAATATCTATTCCATAATGTGGTGTAAGAAATCTATCGGGTCTTGGTCCCTGGTGCCCTGTTGCTGGCACAGAGCGCCTACAACCCTTGTTATCTCCTGAGTGATAGGAGTACCTTCTGTCATTCCTAAGGAGCCCCCTTTGGAGCCCACCTGAATTTATGCTAAAGAGGTGTGTTAGGGTGCGGGCCCTAAGCAGAATCAGCGTGGGGCGTGGCCATCAGAAAGGGCGGGGATTAGAGGCTTGGAACTCACAGCCCCACCCACTGGCCTCCAGGAAGGGGCTGGAGCTGGAGCTGAAAAGCTCTGTAAATACTCCCGAACGCGGACAGCTGAGGAGCCCCCAAGTCTGTGAACACGCCTGGGGGTGGCACACTGAGGTTCCCTGAGGACAGAAGCTCCTGCACCGGAGGCCCTTCTGCACCTCACCCCATGTTGTTCTTCATCGGCCTGTGAACGTACTTCCCCAGGGTTCCGTGAACCACCCCAGCAAGGTAATGGAGTGAGAGCAAGGGTTGGGAGCCTCTGGTTTATAGCCAGTCAGTCTGAGGCACAGGGGGCAACCTGGATTTGTGCCTGGCATGCGAAGGGGACAGTCATCCTGTGGGACTGAGCCTTTACCCCGTGCGATGGGATGCTGTCTCCGGGTGGTCAGAGGCAGAATTAACTGCATGGTGGTGCTGGTGAGCACACGTCTCAAATAGTGAAGTGTGGAGAGGACCCACGGGGGGAGGAAGATTCCGTTCCACATCCCATCAGTCACCACCACACACGCCTGCGGGGACAAACCTCATCACCTGTCTCCTCACTAGCTAGTGTGCAGGATTGTGGGCGCGGGTGGTCAGCCGGACAGCCTCCGAGACTCGATAAGCAGCGCCCAGGACGCGGCAAGCTCTAATGAACAAGGGCCTCAGCCTACAGTAGCAAGGCAAGTGGGACCCGTGGGTTAACAGACATGTGAGACAGCTACTGTAGGGCGTTGGGAAACAGTCTGGATCTTAACTGCAATACACATGGCTTAAGAAACAACATTTGTGAGTCAAATTGAGAAAATGGAGCATTAATAACATTTGTCATATGTTAAAATAGTTGTTTACTTAGGGGCAAGAAAGCACCACTGCACGTGGGAAAGCAGGGTGGGGGGGTGCAGTGGGGGTGAGGGAGGCTGGGGCAGAGGGGAGTGAGAGAGAGAATCTTAAGCAGGCTCCACGCTCAGGGCGGAGCCCAACACCAGGCTCGCTGGGTTCAGTCTCAACCATGAGATGGTGACCTGAGCCCAAACCAGCAGTCGGAACTTGGAACCGACTGAGACACCCAGGCGCCCCTTCTGCAGCAGACTGACTTGCAGCCCACAAAAGTGGAAACACGTAAAATATCCATGAACAGATGAATAAGTAAATAAATAGTGCTATATGGATATCTCATAGATACAGTGAACTGTTCGTGTAAGCACCACTGATGAACTGTAAAATAAATGTGTCTCACGAGGGGACCCAAGGAAAAGGAGGACACAACACTTCACAACTTCAATCATACAAATTCTAGAAAGTGCAAACTCATTGATTATGACGAAAAGTCAATGGCCGCCTCGAGGACAGATTATTAAAGAACACAAAGGAAAGGTGGGGGTGATGGAAAACTTTATTATCATGACTGATGGCCTCATGGGCTTATATGAAAGTCAGTGTCAAACTGCACAATTTAATGATGGACATTGCATGTCATTTGTACCTTACCGAAACTTAACAACACGGTTCAAATTAAGTTGGGTTCTCTACGCTTTAGAAGATTAGGTCTGGCCACCATACGGACTCCACCATCTTTCTCCTCATCAGAAGACATCTGTACAAACAGGTGAGCAATGAAGGCATTCCCAGTTCATTCAACATGGATACTGGCTGAGTCACAAAGACCTCATGGCTGCACCAAGAGATCTCTCCCGTCTCTGTCCTTGCTTCGCTGCCATGCACAACCATGGCCTTTGGTGGACAACCCAGAGGGACCAAGGAATCCACAAAACCTAGTAGCGTACTTTCTCCTGACAGGCCCTACACAAGATACATCCATCTGGGGGTCCTGAGAATTTCTCTACCCGCTCATCCTTCACAGTCCTCCCACCTAAACTCTGTGCATGCCCTTTCCAAACAGGTACACTGCAACCTGTTTATTGGTCTCCTGCACTCTCTATTAATCCAGTGTTTCTGGACCAATGGTCATTCCCCTGGTCCTTATAATCTTTTTTTTTTTTTAAGATTTTATTTATTCTTTTGTCCGAGAGAGAGAGAACGAGCCAGCACAGGCAACAGAATGGCAGGCAGAGGCTGAGGGAGAAGCAGGCTCCCCACCAAGCAAGGAGCCTGATGTGGGACTCGATCCCAGGATGCTGGGGTCATGACCTGAGCCAAAAGCAGCCACTTAACCAACTGAGCCACCCAGGTGTCCCTAGTCTTTATAATCTTAAAATCAGTGACATTACGCTACAGAATTCAGGGGATCAAGGCCCCTGGCGCTGCTGCTGGGCCTGGAGAATAGACCTCCTTCACCATCAATAGCCCCTGTGAATAAGAGAACAAGACCATTTGCTCAAAAGCACTGAAGGCTGTGAAACAACAACCAACAACAGCCCCCACTTCAGGCTGAAACAGCTCCCACTTCAGGGTGACCCCACAAAACATCCTGGCATCCAGCTATAACTCAGGACCACGGAGCCCTGCAGTCTTTCCTTAAAGGCTTGGAGCAGCCATGCAAACTAGGTCAAAGCTGCGGAGCTGTCTTCTGCCATCATACAGTCCCTTCTGAGGCACACAACTCTCTTCACCCCTTCATGCCCACAAACACAGTTAATTTCAACACACACAGAGTGAACAGAATCCCCAAGATGAATGGTGGCTTAAAAAATATGATCTTTATTGTCGTACAGCAAGAGCAATGGGAGGCAGACTGTTCCTGGGTTGGTGATTTGGAGGCTGGGGAAATGCCTTCAGAGTTTCACAAGGACGATACATCCCTGATATGCCATCCTCCTTTTCAAATCACCAACGGTCCTCTAGGACAAAACTGGGTGAGATCCATGCTCTCTCCTCAGAGAAGAAAAATGGGGAAGGAGTAAGTGCTCAGGCTGCTCATTAGTCCTCCAGCAATTGCCCTGACACTGGGATACGGCCCTGGGCAGGTTCAAAGACTGCAGTGCAGCTGCTACATACCTGGGATTTATGTCGATGTTTGAATGTATGAACGTCAACACAGGCAAATGGCACCTTCATGAGGGATTTCCTCCAGTGCTGTTACTCTCATCAAATAAATACCTGCACAGTTAAGGTAGTTGTCCCATTTGAAATTTGTGAACTCCTATGACGTCAAGTCCTTCAGTAGAAGGCTTTCTCATTTTCAAGGCTTTTGTAAGGGCTTTCATGACTGTGAGTTCTCTGGAGTGTGGTGAGGTTAGCCTTTGGTTAGCCATTTTCCACATTCTCCACACTCACGGGCCTTCATCGAGGGGGACACTGTCATGTTTTAGGAGTTAGGACTCATAGGTAAAGAATATCCCACATTCAGATACTCACAGAGCCGTTTCAGCGTGAATATTTGAATGGTCACTGAAATGGAAGACGCGGATGAACGTTTCCCAAGGTCACTGTCCTCCTAAAGCCTTTCTCCAGCGTGTACTTTTCTGTGCTTAATGAGGCTAGAACTATGGCTAAAGGATTTCCCACACTCCCTGCACTCGTAAGGTCTTTCTCCAGTGTGAATTCTCCTGTGCTTAATGAGACTGGAGTTTTGAGTGAAGGATATCCCACACTCAGTGCACTCATAAGGCCTTGATCCAGTGTGTACTCTCTGGTGTCTGAGGAGACTAGAACTGTAAGTAAAGAATTTCCCACATTCACTGCACTCATAAGGCCTTTCTCCAGTGTGAACTCTCCGATGTTGAAGCAGTGCAGAGCTTTGGCTAAAAGATTTCTCACATTCGCTGCACTTATAAGGCCTTTCTCCACTATGAACTCTACGGTGTTCGATGAGGCTGGAGTTTTGAGTAAAGGATTTTCCACATTCACTGCACTCATAGGGCCTTGATCCTGAGTGAACTCTCTGGTGTTTTATGAGACTGGAGTGGTAGGAAAAGAATTTTCCACACTCGCTGCACTCATAAGGCCTTTCTCCCGTGTGAACACTGCGGTGTTGAAGGAGCGCAGAGCTTTCGCTGAAGGATTTCCCACATTCACTACATTCATACGGCCGTTCTCCAGTGTGAATTCTCCGATGTTTAATGAGGTTAGACTTGTTGCCAAATAATTTGCCACATTCGTCACACTCATGAGGCCTTGCTCCAGTGTGAACTCTCCGGTGCCGAATGAGGCTAGAGCTCTGCCGAAACGACCTCCCACATTCCCCACACTCGTAAGGCTTTTCCCCAGTGTGCACTCTCCAGTGGTCCCTGAGGCTGTAGCTCTTGCTAAAAGATTTCCCACATTCACTGCACATGAAGCATCTTTCTCTAGTGAGGTCTCTCTGGTGATGAGCAAGTGTGTGTTTGCAACTGAAGTCCTTCGTGCCTTCTGCCCAGCTGCGTTGCAGTTTCCTTCCATGGGAAGACGCCCCATACTCAGTCCTCCTGTATGACGTCTCCCTGCTGGGTGGGGCCTGATGCTGGGGGAATCTCGAGGTGGCCAAGATGTCCCTCACAGGCCAAGATGTCACCTCCCCACAGGAAAAGGGTTTCCCTAACACACAGAATTTGTAGTCCTTCACAAAAGAGGTTCTGCCCGTGTTGCTTCTGAAGCATTTCTCTCCAGTGTGCTGCTCCTGGTGCGAAAGGTCTGCATCGAAATAAAACTGTCCCTTGTGTGCCCCAATACTGTAGAGATTCTGTCCACAAAGTGTTGCCTGGTGCTCACTGGACAGCAAAAGGTCTCTCAAGTCCTGGCCACACACCTCACGAGGATGGGCCTTCTGGGGAGACACAACTGCCCGGAAAGTCCTGACCTGTGACGCTCTTTGTACAGAAACGCTCTGCTCAGGTGCCTGGTCATCCTCTGCTCCCTGCCTGCAGCCTGAAAGCAAGAAATGCTGGTGAAGTGCACACTGCTGTGTGGGAGGGGCCGCTACTATGCAAGCTCCAGATGTGTGTCTAGCAGACCCAGGAACCAGTGCTTGGGATGGTTTGCAGGACCAGGGAGATGGCTCAGGTGGAAGATGGGGCTGCTCAGCAGTAGCAGGCTCCAAAGAGCAGAGAATGGGAGAGGCCTCATGAGGAGAAGGAGGCAAGCATGCACTGTGTGACCCAGAGGACAGAAGTGGTCTGCAGTTTATTCCTCTGCCAACAACTTTCCAAAGCAACCTATCTCCTGCTGACACACCTATTCCGTGCAGAAGGGTGTGTCGAGTCCCAAGGAAATAGGACTGTAACCTGGCAGGTGGTTTTCTGAACTCCTTACACGGGCACACTTCATGGTGCAACAGCAGCCAGTGTGCAAAGTGCTGCAGATGGCCTGGTGAGAAAATAAGTGGGCTAGGGATCTCAGAAATGCGAGGTTAACCCCACACCAGAAGGAAAATTAGAAGCAAGTAACAGAGTTGACAAATCGGCAAAGTGCCAAGAAAAGGGAAGAAAAGACAGAAATGAAATGTGGCCCCTGGCATCAGAATACTAGTCAAACAAATAGGCTTCTGGTCTAATGTGAATACAGCACTGACATCGTCTCCTCCAGGTACCACTCTGCAGCCTTTGTGTTGTGTGTATGTCAATGTACCTACCATGAACCACCCTGGGGTCTCCAATCCAACCCCACTCCCACAATCAGCAAGCCCACGACAACTTCATGATACAAATTCTAAGGAAAAGACAGTTGAGTAGCCATCGGTATCCCAGAACAACTCAGCACACAACAGCCCATGGCAAAGAGAACTAAAGAGAAGTCTGGAGGAGAGTTTCATGAGGATAGCCCATGGTCCATAGACATAATAATTTTGTCAGAGACAGCAAGTCCTGGCACAGGGAGGCAAGAGGAAGCCTCAGCAGAGAAAGGAAACAGACATGGAGCATGCAGGTATCTTGCATCGAGACAAAGTCACCCAGTCAGGGAAAGGGCAAATAAGGGGATATCCACTGGGTTCACTGCAAGATTCCTGACCCTGATTCCTTCCCTGAAATTCGGCAGGAAAGCTGCTGCTGGGGCTGTTCAAGGAAGAAGGGTGGTGCACTGACGTCAGCCTTACCAACCACAGCACCTACCCCTGGAACTGGGGAAGGAACCAGTGGCTCATGGTCCCTATGTCAAGATAGACTGCTCCTGGGGACCAAGGGAAGGTCAGAGACTAGCTCAGGCCACAGGGATGGGGTTGAGTGTCTTACCCAAGGAGGTTATAAGTGCCAAGTTCTCCAGCATCACATCCTGGTACAGACATCTCTGAGCCTCATCAAGGAGACCCCATTCCTCCCAGGAGAAGTACACAGCCACGTCTTCAAAGGTCACCCTGCCCTGGCAGGATGGGGACAGATGAAACCACAGAAAGATCCTCTCCCAAGAACCCATATCCCTTTTCCCACCCACATCTACCCTATGCCCATCCTCCCCCGATCATCCCAACTGAGAGGAAAAACCACACCCCAGTGCCTGGGGGCCGTGATGCCACTGTCTCCTCGTGGGCCCACTGATTAGAGGGTCCTGCTGACACAAGAAGACGCAGGTAGACGAGTGAATGTCTAAGTTGTGGACCTGGCACAGAGGGATCCTCCTGGCCATCTAGGTTATTCTGCTGAAAACCAGGGCCCTGGCATCAATGAGGCATACTCCCTCCCCAAGTACACATCGTTCTCGAGCCTGAATTCCACAGCCACATGCCTATGGTCACCACACCTCATTGTCCCACACCACAGAAATCTCCCTGGGCTCCCCCGCAAGTCACTGGTATTTTTATCACCTCCTCTTCACCCCACTGCTGAGGGCAGGAGTCCCACCTTAGGGTTATGGGGATGGTCAACACATGACACCTGACCACGGACAGAGGAGATGGACAACATTTTAGTAATCACAGATATTCACAGCCTGGGAGAGGGACACCACACCCACACAGGCCCACATGGGGTGGCACTCTGAAAAAGAGTGAATAACCAGGAGCTGTGGAATGCAAGCTTCATAGGATTAAGAGGGTGAGGTTCCTGTAAGAGGATGGATTGGCTTGTCTGAGTAACTCCATGGGCTGGCAGGGCACTGAAACCCATCCAAAGGGATAAGCAGGAAATGCACCTTTGATGAAAAGGTTGTTTAATTAGTAGGAGGCCTTCCCAACAGCAGAAGAGTGGGGAGGAGAACTTACACCCAGGCCTTGAGTTACTGCATCTTGCACCAGACAAGGTCCTCCTCCACCTGTGCAGCACGTGACCACTCAGCAATCACCATCTTCCTCTGTCCATCCAACCCTCTTCCAAAGCAAGGCTCCTTGGTGGCCTACCCTAGGCTTAGTGACTCTCACAGATGATCACATCAGCACATACACGTGACCTTATTCCTCCAGGATGAGACACCCCAAGCCCTACCACTCCTCACAAAACCCTGATGGAGTTCAAATTGGAGAAGCACCAGCAGCACAGGCCCAAGTGTCATTACGTCCTCTGAGCTTCTGTGTCCCTCTCATGTCTACTCTTCCACTGAAAACCTTGGCCACCTGCCCAAGTATCCTATTCCTGACGCACTCTCCCTTCATAGCCACTCACATCCCTCTCTGAAGTCATACCATCTTCTAAGTATCCAGTCTTGGTCCTCCTTCCTCCCCCAACTTCCTGGCACCGTAACACCTTTACCACCACAACCAGAAGACTCACAACTTCTCACAACTGGGACCCACAGCTCACTCACCTGGGCCCACACAATAGCCATGATGTTTTTAGATGTTTCCCTTCTGAACCGCTCCGCAGAGTTCCAGACTGGTGTGTCTGGCTGCTCACTCAACGCATCCACTCAGAGCTCTCCAGAACATCTCCCACCAACATCACTCACAGTACCAACTCCCTCATCTCAGTCAATGGAGCTCCATTCTTACAGCTGCAGATACAAAAACCCTACAGATATCCCTGAAGCCTCCCTTTCACCCTGTCTTGGTCCACATTAGCAAATCAGTGGTCACTTTTTCAAAACACATATCCAGAATCCAGTAACACCTAAGCCAGCACTCTGGGCCAGTAACCCTCACCTAAACTCTGACAACAGCTTCCACCCCGATCTTCCTGCCTCCTCCCGCAGCCCGCAGTCTACACTCCGTGCCACAGCGGGATGGATCCTATGAAGACCTTGGTAACATCAGGTAGCTGCGCACACCCAAGCCTCGCGTGACCACCAGAGGACACGCCCAACTTCTCAGGCAGTCACTCCAGGCCCGACTGCTGTCCCCTGCTCTTTGCTCTCACCCGCCAAAAAACAGAACGGTGCGTTCCGAACAGGTGCAGCTGAGTGTTAACTCGGGCGTGCGCACACTCCGCTACCAGTCCCCGCATAGCCTTGCACCCACACTGGTTGCCGGAAACGGAAACCCCCTTCATAGAACTCCTGGCGCGGGCCTGGAGTTTCCCCAGGGTCCCCAGACTCAAAACTTGGGGAATGGCACTTAAGATCCCGGGACACAACAGTGCAGAAGACAGGCGGGTGGGGGGCGGGTCAGGCCACCTCCCACTCGTTCGTGCTGCCTCTGATGCGGCGGGAACTGGGGAGAGCCCAGCCTTAGACCAACAAGACCCAGGATCCACCGACCGGGAAGGCAGCAGCTCAAGCTCCGCGCCTCAGGGCTCAACATCGCCCCTCACGACGTGCCCCCCACCGGAGCCCGCTCCCGCGCGCAGCCCGCCGGCGCTCCCACAAAAGCCCGGACACCCCCGACTCCCTCTCCCGGACACCGGGGCCTGGGCCGCAGGGCCGCGAGCAGGCGCCCTGCATTCGGGCCTTCGGGGCTGGGTGGGGCGGCGGCGGGGAGGGCCCAGGGGACGAGCGCTTACCGGAGTCGGGTCCCTGGGCGCGGCCGCGGCCATCGGGCTCGGTGGGCGGGGAGCACCGGGCCGGTGGTCCCGGTCTCCGCCCCGGCGAGGGGCTGCCCGGGCCGCGTTGCCGAGTTGTGGATCCGCGAGCGTGCAGCGCGGACGGGGCCTCCTCTCGCCGCTTCTCGGTCGCGTCAAGTCAGTATGGACGCAGAAAGCCAGACCTTCTCACCGGGCGCGCAAAACCGACAGCAGCTATCATGGCCACTGTGCGGAAACAGCCGGAAGTCCCACCCGCGCGGTACGGGCACGCGCGGAAGAGCCCTTCTGAAGCGCTCATTGGACAGCGACGCTGTCGCTCGGCCCCGGGCATTCTGGGCGGAGTAGTCCCCACGGCTCTGCGGCTGGGAGTCGGAGAGTCGGCCACGTCCTGCGGCGAAGGCTCGGCGTCTGGTGGGAGTGGTGCTGGGAAAAGGCCGATGTGCGGCTTCGCTTTTTTTTTTTTTTTTTTTTTTTGAGAGCACGTGATCGTGTTTCTTTGCAGTTCTCGCTGCAGCCGACCACCCAAGTGTATGCAGACCTTTCGGACCCAGCGAAGTCAGCATAGTCCTGGAGGCTAAGGATGTCGCTCTGGATCTTCCCAAAGGCCGCAAACCAAACAGACACATCATTCATAGAGTCCGTCAGACACTGATATGTCCACGCCTAGTGGAAGCTAATAAACATTATCTTTTTTCAATTAGTGTCTCATAATGGTACACTGACTGCTGTGTCACCCCTTAGCAACAGGCAGGTGGACAGACCGATGGCACTTAAGCTCTGGACCTTCTGCGCAAGGCCACAACCCCCCACCCCCCCACCCCCCGCTTTCCAGGCAGTGTTCCTGGGTTTCCCAGATCGCCTTCCCCAGACACCACCATACCCGGGCTCACCCTCACTGTGATGGCACTGAGGGCCCTTGGACAGGAGTTCACACTCCCTCCCCACGTGCACATCACTTTTCCTGTCACACCTGTCACAACAGCACTCCCACAGCCACAGTCCCTTCCTGTCCTACTTCATAATCATCTCTGCCTCTCTGATTGTTAATCAGCATATGCTGCCTAGGAAATGTGTGACTGATTCAAACAGGACCAAGTACTATCCCAGACTCTGATGTCCCCACGACAGAGGCAGCCTTGTCCTAATATGGTCTCCCTCCCTGTAGAGGGCACTCTACAGACACATGCACACTTCCCCTTTTCTGAGGGCCCCCACTCTTTTCATGAGAACCTAATGCTGATGGGCTCTCTTGAGGATTATCTCATTCAACAGCCCCAAAACCAGACAGTGTGGACGGACTATGATTCCAATTTTCAAAGGAGGGATCTATCTCTCAAAGAGGGTAAGGGACTTCCACAAGGTTGCTCAGCGGTTACACCGCTGAGCTGGAGACAGGTTACACCACCATGGACCCACTCACCTTGCTCCCTTCTGTTCTTCTCCAGCGGAAATTTCCCGGGACTTGGGCTAGGATTCCCAAACACCTCACCTGCCAGATTGTCTATGGAGCCTGGGACCACCAAGTAACCCCACACCAACATCTCCACCTGAGGCTCTCCACATCATCAGTGTCACCTTAGACCATCTGTTCCCTCACTACTATTGGCAATAGTTCCTCCCCACGGAAGGAGGAAGCCTAAATATGGCTCCTGGGTGGCCCCTCCACTCTATGCCCCCATACTAAGCTGTCACCCAGTTATCACTGTCACTATTACAGTGTGAGGCCCTGAAGGACTGAGAGTAGCCACTGAGACCCTCACATGTCCCTGCCGGCAGCTATTGCAGGAGACCTTAGTGTTTACAGCTCTTCCTCACCATTCCTGGTAAATTGCAAATTGTTCCAACAATGGCTGCTAACCTGCTAGAAATTTTCCATTGCTCCCATAAAGCCCGTAAACCTCCCACCTTCCTCTCCCAATCAGACAGGCTTCTCGGCCCTGGAGACAAGCACTTCTGTGTAAAGACTTCTAGGCTCCAACTTGCCCCCCCCACCTGTCAATGTTTAACCCTGCCTGAGCCTCCAGGTTGTACTAAGGTATGCACCCAACTTTCTGCTCTGACTCCCACCAGCCCATCATCAAATATGCAGAGATGGGATAGGTTGTTTTCTCCAGGCCAGACTATCGCCACACCCATTCCTCTCATCACACTTGGTCCTTGGAGACTGTGCAATTCTGTGTGTTGTTTGGGCATCCATATTGCATGCCTGTCTCACGAGTCTCTGTATTTGTGCATTTGTGTTGCCAGGCTGTGGCGATGTCTGAAAGGGTCCCCAGTGCAGGAGCTTCTGTCCCCATGGAATTGGGGGTGTGTCACTATCCTGGCACGTGGTTGTTCACCAAGTTCTCCAAACTCTGTGTGGTATGACTGCTCATTAACCCAATCTCTAGCTCCTCTCCACTTCATGGAGGGTGGGGCTGAAAGTTCTAAGCTCATGATTTGGTCTTCCTGGGACCAGTCCCCATCCTGAAGCTATCCAGGAACTGCCTCACTGAAATGGAAGACATTCCTATCACCCAGGAAATTCCAGATGACTTAGGGGTTCTGTACAAGGATCCAGTTAGAAGACCAAGTATTAAAACAAAAGATGTTTCTATTGCTCTCATTACTTAAGAAATTACAAGGGCTTTAGGAGCTCTGTGCCTGGAACTAGGGACAGAGACCGACATATATATTTTCTGTTATTTCACAACCTGCCTCACAGAGGTCTTTCCAAACAAAAGCTTTCCCTTGTACCAAGAGGTATGTGCAAGAATGTTCACAGTAGCAAACCCCTGGAGACAAACCAGGAAAGAGGACAAATAAATGTTCCTCTCCACACAGTGAGCATTATCTGTAGCCCCATAGTCCTCTTATGGAAGCAGTGAGAGAAATGTCACAATTTACCCCATAGAATACCCCCTTCTGTGATTCAAGCCATTTTCATATGGTACCTTCCAGTTTGTCAGCGTCATTGAGCCCAGTTTCCTAGCAGAAACCAACGCACAAACACATTCCAAGTAACCAGCACAAGTGCTGTTGCCCCAGCTATGCACAGAATCTTTCCATTTCCTCCAAACTGCCCTTTCAAAGTAGTTCTGCAAATAAGCTCCTCATTCCCCCACACCTGCCATCTCTGGAAGAAATGAGCAGAAATCATTTGACCTTTCATGGTGTTTGTCAATAAAATAGCATTCTGAGACTTGCGGTCACGAATCATATCAGGTCCATTTTAGCTGTTAATGTTTCCAGTGTATTACAGAGATGTAACATTTAAATATAAAGGTTCCCTTTACAGGATAAGGCCTATTTCTGGGTTTCTGCCTCCGCTTTCTACCTTTTCATGCTCATGTGGCCCAGTAAAGACAAAGGGTGAGGACAGAGGACAGGGGAGCAGGAGGGAAAGCATCCCTTGACCACTGGGAGCTGCTCTTTGTGTCCTATGGTTGAACGTTGCTGGGTTTTAGGAATAAGCACCAACATTACACATTCGTGCATTCATGCAGCAGACTCTTTGTGGCTACCTGAAATCTGTAAGCCACCTTTCTAGGCACGTGAGATACTCTAGTGAACGAACTTGAGAAATTCTTCCCTCACCTCACATTTTAGTGAAGACAGTACACGGGCAATATAATCAGGAAATGACACGTTCTAAACAGGGAAGTGCCATGGAAATGCACGCATCTGCATTCGTATTTCTACATCATTCCACTGGGGCTGCACCTGAGGAAGCTCCTGGTGTGGAAGGAAGCCCTCTGGAGGCCCTCTTCTGGTGAGTCTTCAGGTGGCGGTGGTAGGTCGACGACTGGCGGTAGCTTCTGTGGCAGAGGGAGCACTCGTAGGGCTTCTCTCCTGTGTGGATTCTCTCATGGGCCAGAAGGTTGGTTTTGTGGCTGAAGGATTTTTCACACGTGCTGCACGTGAAAGGCTTCTCTCCTGCATGAATCTTCTGATGCACGTGTAGGTCTGACGCTTGGAAGAAGCCTTTGTCACACTCAGCACAAGTAAATGTCCTCTCGTTCTTATGTCTTCTCTGATGGGCTTGTAGCTGAGAGAGATACCTGAAGAACCTAGGACACTTTTCACATCTGTATGACTTTTGGGTTTCATGGCGTCCTCCTTGCTGTCCCCCACATGGGGATTTCCCCTCAGTTCTCTGGTGGGTAGGAACAGGCTCAGGGGTGACCTGGACTGGCTGAGAGAGAAACCCTGGTCCCCCCTCTGTAAGGACATCTTGATAGGAGGGTCCTTCCAGGGCCCCTTCCTGGGACCCGGATGTGCCTAGAGCTGCTCTTCTGGAGCTAAGCGGATTCTTCAAAGAAACACTGTCCTCTTCCTGGATAATGAGCAGGGAAGGTATTTCTCGGCTTTGACTGGTAATACTGTCATTTATGTGATAAATGTTGTCACCATTTTCTTTAGCTTTCTCTCCTGTGGGGGATAAAGTGACTCGGTGAAGTCGTGCCCAAGAAGGAGCCGCATGAATCCCTCTGGTACCTCGGCTTACCCCACTCACCTTGTCCTGTTTCCAGGGAATTATCTTGGGGAGTCCAGGAGGGTGTCCCCATGTTCTCTTCTGTTGAGGTCCCTGCTGACAACTGTTTCATGAAATAAACAATGACTTCTCTTAAGGGTATATTCTCAGAAAAGAGGGCTTCTTGTCCCTGCATGTGGATGTGGACCTGTAAAAAACAAAACAAAACAAAACAAAAAAAACACCTCATCACTACGGTATATGGATCTGTTGAGTGACAGAAGCCTTTGTAGAAGACCTTCCCTAGTGCGGCTTTCCCAAGATCCCACTACCGCATGCTGCCACATCCACTATTCTGCCCTTATCCCTGCTGGCCTTAAAGTTCATGGTAATTTCTAATTAGTGTGTCATTTTCAATGAGAAAAGATGAATACTCAAGATTTCTGAGGGAAGAATGATCTTGTGTTAAGGCATTTCTCCCCATTCTTGAGGTTTCTGCTCTACTGTCATTTTCTTAGTGAGTCCTCCTACCATCTCACTGGTTAAAATCAATTAATATGTTGGCTCTTCTATGTCCTACTGAACAGATGCCTATAAAACATCTGCTCTCATTTTGCTTACTTAGCATGGCAAAGGATCTCTTTGATGAGAACTAGTAAGTGGGTCTACAATAACTCTTCCTTCTCTACTCCTGGGCAATTACAACAGGCTGTACTTAATCCTTATACACTTCTGACCCTCAGGCCAGGAGCTGAAACCCTCTACTCACTAATCCAGGTGGCTTCATGCCATCGTCAGTCAGATCTTCCATGAATTTCTCCAGGTTTCTGCCACTGGCATTCCATTTCTCTTTCAACATGGCCCTGTCACTGCAGTGGCCATTGATCATAAACTGTTCCAGGACCAAACGAGAAATAATTTCATCCTTGCTGTGTTTTTCTGGCTGCAGCCATGAGTGAAATAACTTATAGAGATTTTGCAGTTCCTGCCTTGCACATAAGTTATTACTGTTTTGTAATAAACTGAGCTGAGTCCTCGGGAACTCACAGATCTCCTCTTTCTCCTGAATGGCTTGCCCTTGACAGGGTTTATGCTCTAAGTTTTCTGACCCAGGATCATTCCTAGATGGTTCTCCCTGAAATGAGATTCTGAGGTCTAAAGCCATTCTTAACAGGAATTCTCAGAGATTCAACGTCAGATATTCAGTTCCTCCTGATTTGTTTCTCCGGAATTCTGTTGCACCAGCTCATCGATACCTAAAGAGTGCAAGCTAGAAATAGAAGAGATACAGAACTAATTACAGCACAGGCATAATTTTAAAAATTCAGTTTCAGATAAGTTCATGCATAAATTCTACTAGACATGTAAGAAAGAATGCTAATCTTACACAAATACTCCCAGAGCATAAGAAGTGGGAACACTCCCCTTTTAATGAGTTTAGCAACTCCCTAATAATAAAAGTTTATAAGTACATTAAAGAAAGGTACACTACAGGTCAAGTTCTCTCACAAATGGTAGGTAGCGAAATGGAAAGCAAAACATTTGCAAATCAAATCCAATGACATATATAGAAAATAATAAATCACAAAACAAGTGAGGTTTACCTTCTTTTTTTAAGTTTTTAAAAAAATTTATTTATTTGCAGGGCGCCTGGGTGGCTCAGTGGGTTAAAGCCTCTGCCTTCGGCTCAGGTCATGATCCCAGGGTCCTGGGATCGAGCCCCACATCGGGCTCTCTGCTCAGTGGGGAGCCTGCTTCCTCCTCTCTCTCTGCCTGTCTCTCTACCTACTTGTGATCTCTATCTGTCAAATGAATAAATAAAAAAATCTTTAAAAAAATTTATTTATTTGAGAGAGAGCACATGCATGGGGAGAGGAAAGGCTCCCGCTGAGCAGGGAGCCCAATGCGGGGCTTGATCTGGGATCATGACTTGAGTGGAGGGCAAACATTTAGCCTACTGAGCCACTCAGGTGCCCCAATTGGGGTTTACTTTCAAAATGAAAAGTTGGGTTAAAATTAAAAAGTCAATTACCACATGAATAGAGTTTAGAAAAACACAATATAATCATCTCCTTGGATACATTAAAGGTGTTTAATGAAAGTTGGTGTTCATTACCAAAAGATATTAGTAAACTGGGGATAATGAGAACTTCCTTCATGTCATAAAGTATGCGAAATACACCCAAACTCATCCTTAAATGTTTTCCCCTTAAAACTGAGAGATGGATGGCCACTGCCAATTCTATGCAACATTGGACTACTCTTTAGTCAGTAAAAAAGGCAAGAAAATATTTCAAATATCATTATTTTATACATGTCCTGATTTTGTTTCCAAGAAAGTATGAAACATTCTACAAATATTAGGCAAGGTGAATTTTTGCAAGATGTCTGATACAAGACCAATTTGCCAAAATCGTTCGGATTACATTATGACACTAGCAGCTGAAAATTAAATTTAAAAAAATACTCAACTCTATATATCGCCATTAAACATAAAATATCTAAGAAAAATTCAATGAAAATGTGCAAGCCCTTTAAAGAAATACACAATATTACAGATATTATATGTATAAAGAGTAGCTATGTTTGTGGATTGCAAGACTCAATTCCAACTGGAAAACATCAATTATCCCCAAGTTGCTGTATAAATTCAATGCTATGTCATTGGAAATCCAACAAGTGGTTTGTCTGTGTGTGTGTGTGTGTGTGTGTGTGTGAACACTGACAGCTGATTCTAAAATTATGTAGACATAAATAGGCTAAGAATAGTCAAGACTAACTGAACATAATAAAAAATATAATTTAAAAAAATAAAATAAAATAAAAAATAATAAATTAGAAAAAAAAATACCCAAGATAATTCTGAGGAATAATAATGTTTGAGGATTTACATAATCACAAAACAAAACTGATTATGAGACTATATTCATTAACACTCCTTGACAATGGCACAAGGATAGACAAATAAGGCAACAGAGCAGAATCACAAAACAAAACTGATTATGAGACTATATTCATTAACACTCCTTGACAATGGCACAAGGATAGACAAATAAGGCAACAGAGCAGAATGTTAGCCTTATGTAGATTGTTATCTATACGGTCACCTGCTTTCTATAAAACATGACACTGAAGTGCATGTGCTGACAGGAAAGCTTATTTTTTGTCTTCAATAAATGGTGCTATGTCAACTGAATATTCATAAAGGGGGAAATCCATCTTGACCCCCATCCTACCCCATTTACAAAAATTAGTTCTAGATGGGTTTTAAAAATCTGAGAAATGTAAAATAGAGCTTCTAGAAGACGACCTGGAAGAATATATTTAAGAACTTATAGTAAGTAGAAAAAGCTGTCTTTTAGACATTACAGAAAGAACTCAGCAGGAAGTTCTTTTCCCAAGGAAAAGGCCGACATACTGGACTACATTAAAATGAGAGGTAGTGTTCATCAAGTGAAGTCATTTATTCATTTAAAAAATGCAGCACAGTAGAGAAGATATTTTCTTTCTTTTTTTTTTAAAGATTTTATTTATTTATTTGACAGACAGAGATCACAAGTAGGCAGAGAGGCGGCAGAGAGAGAGGAAGGGAAGCAGGCTCCCTGCTGAGCAGAGAGCCCGATGCGGGACTCGATCCCAGGACCCTGAGATCATGACCTGAGCCGAAGGCAGCGGCTTAACCCACTGAGCCACCCAGGCGCCCAGATATTTTCAATATATAGGTAAAACACAGAATGAGTTTGCAAAAACTTTTTCAAATCAATGAAACAGAAGATTGATTTCTAGGAAAATGGTCAAAATACTTGTCAAAGGCAGATATCTTATAACAAAACTACCATAGCATGCTATAAAATACTGCCAGAAAGACAAAAATCAAATAGACTGAGTGTTGACATGGACTGGAACACCTAGCACTCTTGGTCACTACTGGTGAGTACTCACTGTGGAAATGTTGTGACTGGTATCGACTAAGTCTGTGTTTATGTATTCAGGATGTGACCGTCAGTGTTATTCCAGGGCATTTGTTCAACAGAAAAATGTACTCACCTACATCACAGACATATCTGAATGTTTATAACATTATAATTCATAAAATTCTCAAATCGTAAACAATCTAAATGTCCAACATTAAATGGAATAGATTATCATTAACTCATAGAGTCATATGATTATTCGTATGACTAGCATTGATCATTGAATGATCATTCATTGATAGTGCTGAAAGTGAATGAACTGTTTCCTACAACATGAAATAGCCATAAATCAAAATGTTGAATGAAATAATGCAGAAACCAAAATATACATTTTGTTTATTCCCATTTATGCCACTTCAAAAGCATATAGATATTATCAGTATTATTTAGGATGTTGGTTACTTTTGGAAACAATAGTAGATCCCGGGGTAGGTACATATATGGAGGGCTCCATAGAAGGACCCCATCCCAGAACTAAATACGATTCCTGGGATGCCGGACTTCCAGTTTCAGATGGCAACATTCCACCTCTTGATCTTAGAGGCGGTTATTCAGAAGTGTTTCTCTATAAAAATCCACCAAGCTATCTACTTTCACTACTTTTTCATTTTCTGTATGAGCATTCCACTGCAATAAAATGTTCAATT